TTCACGAAGTTACAAATTCATTTAAGGGACAATGCGTGCGCTTCTATAATAAGATCTCTGAGGACATTTAAACTTTACCATTTACCAAGTTTCAGACTATCATGAAACAAAAACTTAATACAAAGGTTATTACGCAGTTTGAGCGTACTTGGATTACAGAATCAATGGGGAAAAAACTGTTTAGCTCTTTCGGATTTGTTTTTAATATTATTTTGAAGAATTATTTACAAGAGCTACTCCTAGAGTCCCTTACTAGAAGACTGTTCTTAAAGAAATTTGAATGTGTATTACTCGTAGTAGCGGACGATTTCAAGTGGAAGTTCATGCAAATGAAATAAGATATTATGTGGTTTGTTTAGTCTACATAAACTGATGTAGTTTATCAACAAGTGAAAATTTAGAATGTATTGTAGGAGCGTGTTCGTTTCTCCTATTTGTTAATTGGGGACTCGAACCCGAACTAGGTACACTTGAAACTATGACAAGAAAGCGAAAGGAAGGAAGAGATACGCGGAAGCTAATGAATAATATTATTGAAAAGAATGCAAATGAATTTTACTTAAAGAAATTAAAAATTACAAGAACAGCGAAAAAATACAAAGCAGTATAAGAATTAGAAATTACGTCTGTTTCCAAAGCGAGAAGCAAGCAGAGTGCTCGGTGCTCGACGCGCAGTGCTGGGTTTGAAGCGATGAGGTGCACTTACAAGGGAAACGAGCGATGTGCGGCACGGCACCGACGTCACTCATCGTACGATGTGCAGGCGCCGACGTTATTGATCGTATGATGTTGGTGTGGCCTCACTTGTGTAAAGCGATAGCGTTTTGCTTATGGAATGTGCGCCAGAGTATACTTGTATGTTAGACTTTGATGTATGTAGTAAAGACCAGTCCAGTCAACGTAATATCATAAGAGATAAGTTTAAAGAAATATACACTTCTAGAGTACATTTATATATTAATTTAAGAAGAATAGCAATTTAGTAGCAGTAGATCTCCTTGTGAAAGAGTTCATCCAGGGATGTACTACCACTGTATGTGTTTCCTTTTGTCTTTGTTCCGTCACTTGATATCATAAGATTAATATGAGGAATTGAGGAAAGGATTAATATGAATTAATATGAGGAAAGGATTAGACATAACATTAATATGAGGAATAAAAATAAAGTGACTGCTCTTGACAACCGTTTTTATAAAATCCCAAATTCTTTCAAAGGGCAATACGTATGTGTATATATATATATATACACACGCTTCTATAATAAAATTCCAATTGATATTCAAAATTTGTCATTTAGGATATTCAAAACTGTAGTCGAACAAAACACTTTATACAGCTCCAGCGTATTTGAACGACAGAAACTCGCAGTAAAGATCCGTTCAGCTATTTCAGATTGTTTTATAATATACATCGTAAATGATAAATGCACTGACATATATCTAAACAGACCCCGCAAGTGCGGCAATCCGCATGAAAACCAAGCGCGCCACATTTTTTACCTCATACGACGTCACAAGCGCTCTTTAGTGATGGGAAACCTCCTTGGACGCTAAAGCGATTGAATCGAAAACGCAGGCGCAGCACGCATTTAGAGTAATGATTTTTCAAGAATACAAGAAGCCGCGAAATATGAAAACAGTAAAATAATACCAAAATAAACGATTTGCTGTTAAATTTTTAAACGGCTTCAACAGTTACCGTATATTAAAATGATTATTCTTGAAAAAAAAAATGAGTTTATTGTATAATTGTGATTTCGTTAAAGAAGATTTCAAATGCTTACTTTAATAATGAAAACGCACGTCAAATTAACTTGAGACGGCCGTAATTAAATTCACTGCGTGGTTTTTTGTTGGCGATTGATCAAATTGATATATGGCAAGACAACTGAAAATGTTACTGCTGTGCCTCAACCCATTTTTCTTTTAAATTTGTGTTACGTGGAAAACTAAAAAAACAACATCAAAACGTTATAATATATTTTTTTTATTTTTTAAGGTAATAAAAATTATCATCCGTTTGTTTCCTAAATCAAATAGAATCCCGAACCGTGTTGCATAAAGAGAATATTACTAATCGCAAAATTTGACGAAAACCATAATGAATGGTCACCACGAATGCATTATTCGAAAGCAACGCGCGTTCGATATCCATGGTCATACCGCACCAAGTAAAAGCTGCAATCTACTACGAATCATGCGGTACTAGTTGGCGCATATGTTTTCTCAAATGCAAACCAAAATAATTGATTTTAAAATATATAGGCATATTCTGATTACAAAATGACGTAACTGTGGAAGGAAATGTCCCTGTTTATTCATCTACTCACAGCTGTGGTGTTTGTGTAGTTTCCAATGGCACAATTAGGGATTTTTCGCGTTTTCGACTGATGATTCTGATCTACGATAACGGCCAGGCGCGTTCTGAAGAGCAGCAACCTAAACATTTTTATATTACATTGGGCACGCGAAGTTGTAGTGTAAAACTACGGACCCCTTATCATCTCCATCTCTCTCTTGACGCGTTCCTAGGAAACGTCCTTACTTTTCCTGATTCCTGAAAGTGTTCTATCTAATATTTAATATAATATTAGTGCTTAAAATATTATATAATATTAATTTCCTTTTGTAAGCTATACCTCCCACTTTTCTTCTTCATATTTTCACGCCTGATTTTCAGACTTCGTTATATTCCACCACGCTGATAATTTCTCTGAACTTCGGTATTCACTTCATTTTAATTGTAATTAAGTATTATTTCATCAATTTCACTTTTTAAACATATTTATTCGCATTTAATATTTTTGATCTGTTGACATTGAGAGACAGATCTGTTATTCTTCGACAGTCTATTCCTTTGTTATGCGATCTTGGCAATAGAAGCGCCCTCTCTCCTGGCCGTGCACATTTTTGGCGCCTCAATTCAAAATTGAAAGTTACATATATTCGACTTCGATCGTGTAGGGGTTTAGTCTTCCCGAACACGTTACGCATTTTATAATATAAAATCACGAATGGCTCGACAAATACGCAACGCGATTGTCGGAACACTCAGTAATGAGGAGAAGTAAGGACGTTTCCTAGGAACGCGTAAAAAGAGAGATGGAGATGATAAAGGGTCCGTTGCTTCACACTACAGAGTAGGTAGGTAAATGTAAATAAATATATTTACAAAGAGCTAGCACCTAGAGTCTTATACTCAGGAGAATCTGCCTCGCGAACGAGTATGAGTGCTTAATCAAAATGACGATTTCTAAAATAAAGATATTTTCGAATGTGAATTGTTGACATCTATATAAACAATCGTTATTATGAATTAAATTCAGAAGTTATTTATTCAGCAGCCAAATTATAAATTAAAAAAAACATTAGCATAAGACGAAGCGAGAGACGCGGTAGCTTAGTCGGTGCACCCATGTGCAAATGCATTGCGCTCGATCATCATCAATCATGATCCGCGGGGGAATGGTGATGAAATCATTAGCATCATGTAGACTGTGAAGTAATGACATATAGTTGTTTAACTTGTAAACGCATATTGATTCGCAAAACCTTTTCAAAAAGTTTTCGTAAGCAGAATACGAATTGATTTTTTTTTCCAACTAGAGTGATTCAATTTATTATTATTATTATATTATTTGTTTTTTGTGACTGATTGAAAGTGTATAATGGGGTACATGAAAGGATCCCCCATACAATGTATTCCCAGTACGTCTGGGGCCCCCTGGGAAACAATCGACGAGTATCTTTACGTTTATAGGCAAATCTTTACACCACGATGCGAAACATGCCCCATGCACAGTTCAGCCAGACGGGTACCAGTGGCGTGATCAGCGAGGTTAAGTACTCAGTCACGGTTATAACGGATCCTACGTAAAGTATCAAAAGCATAACTTTTTTATTAAAAAAAATCTATTTCTAAAGTTTGCGGAATTACATGTATTTGCCAAATTTCATTGAAATCGGTTACCGGAAGTGCACGAAACCAGATTTATCCCCTAGTGTGCCACCCTTAGAAGTGGAATATACTCTTCAAATTTACCCTCGCTCTAATAAAAAAAATAATCATCGAAATCACAAACAATAGAGTCATCGCGTAATATACACACAAAAACATACAGCAAAATTGAAAAACTCATTTTTTAAAGTCGGTTAAAAAGAGCTCCTAAATATGGTCATTTATTAACACGTTGATGTGCAGTCGTATTCTTCATTCAAACTATTCGTGACACTTTCCACCAGGAAGAAATCGGAAGGTTCGACTAAACATACATTATAATATAAAGAATAATATGTAATTATAAAATCTTTCAACGCCGCAAGGCGAATTATAATGATTCAAAATGCATTCTTATAAGTCCTTTATAACTTGTAGATCATAAAGGACTCAGGGAATTTTAATTAGAGAAAAAGAACCGTTGAAAAAATAAACGGATATAATATGATGAAATATGAAACATAAGCTTTATAAGATTACTTGCATCTGCGTCTGTCGATTACGGTCACAACTGTTTAAGGAAGAAAATTAAATAGTTTTAGCGTTGACGCTTTGTCATACTTTTCGAATTATTTTTATTAATTATGATTACTTTCATAGCCTGCAGAATATTTATTTATTTGGGCCATTCTACAAAGAAACCACTTATCAATAAGTAAAGTATTTAGACACTTAAGAAATATCACAGTATGCAAAATAGTAACAATATAAAATAACATAAAGTATATAAAGAGCCAAAAATAATTTATAAAAAGAATTTAAATTTTAAAACTTCAGAGAACTTTGAGCTTTACAAATCTTGAGAATTTGAGTTTACTTTGTAAGGTGACACGATCCTTACAAAGGCTTGGAAAAGTGTCAAATGATCGAAGTTTCTAAAAAGTGAAAGTGATCTAAGCGCTCCTCTTAGACAACCTAAAGGGGCTACTCAATTGCAGCAACCAATAATGGAAATCCAAGAAACCAATACCAATTTTGTAAGTAATTTTTTTAAGATGACTTACCGATTTTCTTCAAAATTTCGCTGAGAAATCTGAAACAAACAACAAAACAGCAAATAAATAATATGTCTACAGCTTATGACGCCCATGCCAAAATATAAAGCTAAACAAACTTCTTTTTCCGCACTAATTAACACCGCGTGTTTTAAAGTTAATCATGTCATGCAGGTATTGCAAAAAACACGTGCGTGTTAAATATGCATTTACCCTTCATAGTTATTTTTGATACAAGTGCGGAAAGTTAGACATGACTTCTTGTCAAGACTCGAGACAAACGATAATGACAAATCCGCACGTGTATCAAACTTAGAGGATGGAAAAAAAATAAAAGAAAGGAGCTGCCCTAACTACAGAATCAACGTGCATATAACCAAAATTTGAAAGTTACAAATGGCGGATTTCTTTAGTGTTGTACCATAATCTATCGATAAGTCACTATTGACATGCAAATGTATGGCTTGAATGTTGAAACTGTTTTTTTTTTCGTTTCTTTAGTTTACTGTTACCACAGTATGCCTAAATAAACACATGTCTAATAATTTAATCTCGAGTGGTATATTACTATAGATGTCAACACACATTTTTAATCTCTTTAAATTAATTTTAATGATTACTACTGGTAAATTATTTAGTAAAAGTCACCAAACTGCTGTGCAGTTTGTTGGCGGCATGCGCATTCTTATCTATTTTTTTAACGCACACACTCAACATTGCCCTACCTATACTTATTTTACTATGATTTCCAACCATTCTTTCTTCCTTTTTTCATTTGTAGGAAAACTTGAAATAATAATAATAAAACAATAAAAACCTCATAGTGAATTGTTTTAATAACAGAATATCGATAATATGTATGCTTACAAGATCAACACTATCTCAAAATAATCGTTAACAACAATCATCAAAATATACAAACAAACAGGCAATCTAAAGTAACAAAAGCAAAATTTGGCAAGATTTATAAATAAACTACTTAAATAAGTCTAATTACATAAAATATTCGGGCTATTGTGTGATTTATAGACAAAAAAATAACACATGCCTGTGCAATGTAACATTCGATTGATTTGCAGTTTTTCTAAAGCCGCATCCTTTAATGCTGCAGCGTCGCATTTTTATTAATAATAATTATTCTCACAATTTAATTATAATACATGTGAATAATTCAATAATACATTTGGAAAAACATTTGTTTTGACATTTGATGTACTTCCCTTTGACAACGGTATCATGTATTTCATGTACTTGAAATGGCCACGGTTGGCATTTAAAATGACGTTACGAATTTTCGATTCCCGTGTTTGACACAGACCAATGTAATGCTATCTCTTTTGGCTTAAGACGGCACGTAATAGTTAAACAAAGACAATAATATGTTTATGTTTTCGACGTCGAAATGCATCATATACATATAACGTCTGATTTATATATGTCAACGTAACATGTCCTTTAGTTTCCATAGTCTAAGGTATCAAACGACGTTTTTTTGACACATTTGCGAAAAAAGTTTAGTGTGTGAAAGTTAGTTAGTTTAGTTTAGTAGTAAGAATTTTAGTGGCGTGGCGCGCAGCAGTCTCGCGTAATACTCACCTCCGGTCTTTGTTAATACTCAATCAGCCATCTTTATGGAAAATATTTTGGTATTTTTAAATATAACCCGTTGTTTTATAAAACACCTATGCAATTCAAACAAACAAGATGTTTGTAAGTAAATATAAGTTTTAATGACGAATGACTTCCGTCACAAAGCACATAAATATACAACCTGTTTAGTTCTATGTTTAAGACTTGAAACAACAGTAAATTAAAAAAAAAATGGAAAGTAAAAAGCACTAGTGCGAAAAATCCAACTTTCGGCACGATTTGTAGTACGAAAAATACCACGTTTTGAGCAACTGTATTAAAAAATACTGTATTTAAGACTCCAATTAATTTTCAGAACAATTGTATGGAAAATATGTGCATTACTAATAGGCAACAACGTATGCAGTCACGTAGCAGACGCAAATATGAATCGTAGCTAAGTTAAAACGATGTAGTAAGCTAAGCGCTACGCGTCGTAGTCTGCTACGAATCACTCGGTATGAGGTGAATGACACCGGTCTAGGTTAATATGAGTTCGTCGAGACGATGAAATTAGCTTCCAGAAAAGGTTGAAGAACCTTTGAATTAATTGGAAGATACTTTAGAAGGAATGAGAAACTACTCGCGTATCACGTGTTAGCTCACACCAGTGATCACAATATGCGGTGAACTTACACGACATATTGTGAGCGAAATTGAAGAGTTTTAATTTAATAATAATAATAATACGTATTGTTGTTGAAATAAGGGGTGATTGTGCATGGACGTGCTTGCGTCTATGTGTTAGGAAAGAGGTAAAATAGGATAAAAGAGTAAAACAGGTAAAAACTAATTTTCTATACAATTACTCGTTGAAATATTTATATAATAATTTAGGATGAACTGATGGAAATTGTTTTAGGTGTTTTCGATTGTGCTTTCGAGTGGATTCCGATGCGCTGTTGCTCTTTTTTTAGCCGACTTCAATAAAAAGGAGGATGTTCTCAATTCGACTATATGTTGTTTTTTGTATGTATGTTACGCGATAACTCTGATATTTGTGAACCGGTTTTGATGAATCTTTTTTTGTTGGAAAGAGGTACCTTCTTCACCTCCATAGTGGTCCCATTTAATTCTGAAGAAAATCATCCACCCCTGAGGGTGGCTGTTCACGCATGAAGATTCATTTTTATAAATAGCGCGTAAATTTTATTATAAGGAGCAATTATTTTAATAGTTGATTTTGCTATTCTCCAATTCAAGGGGGTTTTTCTCTCTCAATATACTTTGAGTAGTGAGAACCGATTTTTATTACCTCCTGTGTCAAGTCCTGTATAGCGGCGAACTAGAGGGTTGAATCTGGATTTGCGCACTTTCCGGTAACCGATTTCAATAAAACTTGGCAATTCTACGTATTTTTGAGGTCGGTTTTTTCAGTACTCTGTACTGAGATTATCATTATAACATCAAGCGACGGAACGAATAACTCGTGCGCCTGATGGTAAGCTATTGTCCATAACAGTTACAGTACCACTCAGAACTTTAAATTGCAAAGATCTGAAGGGCACTACCACTACACCCTACGCCATTGTCAGTTCCATGTCCCTGGAATTTCACCAGCACCCTTACCCTTCAAAACCGGAACACATTAATGCTGACATTACTGCTTGGCGGCAGAAATAGGTAAAGCGGCAGTACTTCCCTGGACGAACTCTTTCACAAGGACCTCTACTGCTACTAAAACTGCTCACAGTACAGTGAATTACATGGTTTGAAACCGTACAGTGTGTTTATAAATTGTATAAACTAAGTTCTTCATAATAAGCCATTACTCGTGCTCGCATCGTCTTTTTAATTTCGCAACATCGCTATATATCCTTAGTTGCACATATAAGTCACTGGACTCGCTTGCTCCATACGAGCTTACGCTTCGCCACTACGTCCCAGGGTCGATTCCCGGATTAGCTGTTGTACTTTGTTGGATTATAGCCACTAGGCCTATCAATACCACGTTACTATAATTAAAAACAAGTCTAGGTTTCTTTTTGCGCAATGTGTGTTTGGAAAGCGAATATGCAATTTACAGTTTATTTATAATACAAGTAACCAGAAGGCGGGGAAAAAAGGGAATGACAGAGAGAAAGAAAGAGTAGTTAAATAGTCAACACTAAACATTTAAACATTTCTAAAACTAGAAAGACAGATAAATCCAGTTCCAATCAGTCCAGGGAAGTACTGCCACCTTACCTATTTCTGTCGCCAAGCAGTAATGTCAGCATTACTGTGTTCCGGTTTTGAAGAATAAGGGTGCTGGTGAAATTACAGGCACATAGGACTTTTCAACTAAAGTCTCAGAGCGATGGGCGCAGAGACAGTGCACCTCAGATATTTGCGTATTAAAGCTCTGAGTGGCACTGCAACTGTTATGGACAGGCGTGTCGCTTGCCATCAGGGGCACGACTTGTTCGTCCCACCACTTACTATCATAAAAAAAATTGATAAAAACTTTATTCACTTCCATGACAGCTTACTTCCTAAGATCCACTGAAACTAACACTATAATTATTGGACCACTTGAAAATAACAAATTTTAATATCAAAAGGAACGTACAACTGCACTTATAACTAATTAAACAAACTAGCTTTGAACAATTAGGCAGTTCCAAAATTAACTGGTTAAGATATTTTGCACGTTATTTAGTGAAGATTCCGGTATATTATTACTTGTGATGGGCTGTCAAGACGCGACTGGGCGGAAAACGAGGTGTCAGTTGCGACTGAGAGGTTATGTGGTTATATCTTACAGTATAAAACAAAGAGAGCTTCATATTTATTTCAGGTTCTGTAATTAGGTTTCAGAAAGGGTCGCACAGTCGTGAGTCAAGTCTGAGAATAAACCACGAAAAGAATTCATAATTCACAAGTTCACTTACACTCACGGGTTCGATTCCCGGGCTACTCTGAGACACCTTTACCTTTCAAAACTGGAACGCAGTATGCTCGCATTACTGCTTGGCGACAAAAATAGCTCAGGTAAGTAAAACAGTACTTCCCTGGATGAACTTATTCAAAAGGAGCTCCATTGCGACTTATTTAAAATAACTTATTATTGAAAACCAAACGTTTTCCCAAATCCCACCGCTCTCGACATTTTATTAATATATATCTACCTATTATAAATATAACAATAATAGACAACATAATGTTCAAAAGATATATGTGTAATAAATAAGCCAGACAACAAAAGACGATCAAAGTCGGCTACTTGTCGCGTGGGTGTATACGGTTGTCTTGGTATTTACCTGAGACGGGCAGAAAAGTCTAGACAGAAATTCCTGATTCACTTCACCTGCTCCGATTTAAGTTACGGAATTTTCATACAACGTGTTTGAAAACGGGCGAAATCAATTACAAGGACTTATTTATTTTTAAAAAAACACTTAGGTTCAATTTATTTTGCGGCGGAACG